CTGCCAGGGGAAGCACATACAGTCGCAGGCAGGTTAATATCTTGTTTTCACCAAATGAGCGAGGGAACTACGTATGCCTAAAGATGTTCTAGAAATGTTTATTTTGTACTTACTGGATGTGTAATGTGTATATACCGACACGCAGCCACCACACTGTATTAAAGATGAAGCATAAAAACATTACTCAGATATTAATTTAAGTCTCTCTTCTGGCCTGTTGTAAAGTGGTGAGTAATTTCTAATTGGGAAAAAATCAGAGACTCACCAAAAATATTAACTAGTGAAAACCTGAGCTGAAACCCCTTCCAGAATTGACTGACTTGAGACCACTTTCATTCAATGATGAAACTACTTATGCTACTTAATACTGGGTTGTTGGAAAAGTCATGATGCATTTTTGCATAGAAAAACATGTCATGACTTTTCCGTCAACCCAAGAGCAGCCAGGAACATCGTTCTTGGTCCTGCTGCTACAGAAAGAGATGCCAAGTATAGCACCTTTCAGTAAACAGCTAACAAAAAAGAATTTGAGACCTGTCCTTATCTCAATCCTCATTTCCAGTTAAATAAAACCCTAACCTGTTTCAGTAACCTGAAGTCTCAGTCTCCTAAATATTTCATAAGATGTTTAGGATAGATTTTAGCAAGTCAAGTCTCAACTACAAGAGAGCGCCTGTAAAGTCACACTGTATAACAGGATATTACTTCACTTCTCAGTTTAAAGACAACGGACATTTTTTGGTCTTTAAAAAAGTTCATTTCCTGTTGTGTAGCATCTGGCTTCCATAACCAAAAGAAGCCCAAAGCTGGCAGTAAGCCCAAGAAGGTTTTTAAATTAGTGGAGAGAATAGGAGAATACTGAATGTCCTTTATTTGTATTTTTAATTAAGACACAAAAGAAAACAATACAGTTTTAAAGCCTTACACATCTATTCATTTCTATTTCATAATAAGGATTTTCATTAAGAGGCTGTCTTTTTCTTTTTTTTTTGAGATTTACTTAATTTTATTTGTTAATATTATTTTTTAATTTGACTAGAGAGAGAGAAAGGGAAAGTGAGAAAGCAAACCACCAGGTCCGGACTCAACTCCACAACCAGCTATGTGGGAGTCCAGGGCTTTAACCACCACCAACAGCACCTGCAGGCCTCAAGAGGTAATCATTTTTTTTTTTTTTTTTTTGGAGAGGTTTTCGCTATAGGGCATGTGCGCTGGCCAGACAGAGAGAGACAGGGAGACAGAAAGTGAGAAATCACTCCCCCCAGGGGGGATGGCCATGCTGCAATTCCTTCTCCTTTCTCTTCTCGGGATCTTGGGCACGCATGCACACGCGCCTGGCGTGAGTTTAAGCCACCGGGTCCAAGACTCGAACCGCGGTCGACTATGTGGGAGTCCAACGACATAGCCATTACGCTAACTGCTGGTCCCGAGAGGTAATCATTTTTAAATCCTCTTCAACTAGCCTGGCTTAGGCAGCCAAAAAAATACCAGACTTACTGCAGGCTTAAGAACTGAAGTTCATGGGAACCAGCAGTTAGTGTAATGGCTATGTCGCTGGACTCCCACGTAGTCGACCGCGGTTCATGTCCCAGACCCGGTGGCTTAAAACTCACGCTGGGCGCGTGTGCGTGCGTGCCTAAGATCCCGAGAGGAGAATGGAGGAGAAGGGATTGCGG